TTCTTCTTCTTCTTCTTCTTCTTCTTCCTTCCCTTTTTATTTTTATTTTTTATTTTTTTATTTTGCTCTCTGATATTTATCTATAGGACAGAGACAACAGGAAAAGAAAAGGAGAAAGAGGAAAATAATAGGCGAGAATCTTTTGCACTTTTCTTAGAAGCAGGGTAACCTGCATCTTTTTGTGAATCATTTCATGAGCAAAAGGTTGATGTTGCAGTTGGATTATTTAGCAAAAGGATTTGAAAAGCCATTATTCGCTGTATATTGCTTTAAATGCACCTTAAGAATCAAATTATTGTATGGTTTCTAGATTTCTTTGACATGATCCTCAACATAACTCAATAGATATCATGTGATTCATTATGTTGAATTCATTCTTCTTGTGAATGATGCAATGCTAAGAGTACATAAAGTAGCGAGCATAGAGTATTTTTTGCACGGAGTGTTGATACACATGTAGGATTGTTAGAAAAAAAATGGTGTGAATATCATTTTCCTTTCGCCATTAGGCATGGCACATTTTGTGCGTTTTCCATACATTATATCCAAGCATGGTACTAGTCATCTCTAACATGGATTCAGATTCCTGCGTATATATGGAAGACTGCAAAGTTTATATAACTACTCATCAAAAGAAAACACAACTCCATTTTCCTAGATGAAATCATGTGTTGTGTGATCAAAACTACCTGCCAAAAAACAAAGGAAAAGATCATAAAATGCCCTTGATTTTCAAGTACATAGATTCTCTGAAACACAAAAATGGTTCACTCCTGCCCATGTATGGTCTATATACAGTCAGACTACCACCTTTATTGATTGTAGAGCTGGAAACCACAAGGCCTTCTGAAAGGGATTTTGAGAAACCAAACCACTTCTTGAAAGGGGTTCATGCAATAATATACCAGAATTGTGTTTAAAATGTGAGAAAAGGTGTTTCAAGGGAGATACATTGACTATATTTTACAGTTTCAACTCCTTTACAAGACTCAAATAATGAAGCAATTTTTATTTAACGAGTAAACTAAACTAACACGAGTTAGCTATAGAAAGTCTGATATCATTCTCCAGGACAAGGACATTGTATTGGTTTAGAAAAAGTCATTAGTTTTTACATCATCTCAATTTGAATGAATACCTTTATGAGATGTTACCCTCTTATTCTCAATGATCCAACGGTTGCATTCTTTTGAGTTTTATGAAATGGTATCAGAAAGAAGTTGTGAGACCACATTTGTATAGTGCAGTAGATTAAGGATAGAAGTTTTGTTAGCTTGTTTGAGCCCATACCAATTTCCTGAAGTATTTCCCATCTGCAGTTTTATATCAAGATCGGTAAAACATAAACTATTAAATAGATAATAATTTTAAATATCAGAGAACTCATTCTCCATTTAATATATTAAAATTTGACACAATTTAAATTGTAATATACTTTTTTTTTTTTTTTTAAATAGAAGATAACTTTAAATATTCAGGTGCATTACAACGCAGACACTAAAAACTAATCCATGAATATAAAATTGAATTCACCTTGGATGGAGGCCCAGTGGGCCAGGTTCAGTAAGGGGAGATAAGAAGTTGGGACTTGGGAGGCATTGGAGCAGCAGCCAGAACGACAAAATCAGAACGACGTCGTTGCTGGTTCAATAAGCCGAAGTTGACCTAAGTCTGACTTGGATTTCATCACCTACAGTTTCCGCCGTGGGTCCTACTTGGCGCTATTTGTAGCTGTTGATCTCTCGCCGGCAGTGTGGTAAGATTCTCGCACTTACTGCTTTCTCAGCTGAATTTTCTGGAGAAAATTGTTATATATATTCTCTATGTTTTGATGTCTGTGTTGTGCTTACTTCATTGATAGCTTCGTAAGTATATTTTTGTGTTGCTCCCTGTAAAAGTTCTCAATGAGTAGAAAGACGCTAGGAAAGTGACGTAACTTGGTGTGGGATTAACTTCGGCATCGCATAATCAATCTATTTTGTGATCTATGTATTGCATTTTTTATCTGTTATTGGGAATTTGTTTAGCTTAGTTGACAAAATGTTAATGTTATGCAGGAATCCTCCTGGTATGGGGGCTGTCTGTAAGTTGAAGTCCCACCCTGAGGCAGGCTGATAGAAAAACGTAAATGGGAGATATTGTATCAAACAGGAAGTTTATGTTTGCAAAGAATGCTCATATGTTGCCCATATAGAATGCATGGTGTGTGGGGTAAGTTCTTACTTGTAGTTTCTTTGAAGGTTTCATCAAATTCACTACACTTTGCTTTTACTCTAAAGTTTCATGAGTTAATTCAATTTTTGTTATAAGAAAGTTATTAATTTGTATTGGTATATCTATGGCCGGACCTTATGAAACACACCATTAAGAGCAATTTGCTTTCACATGGAAAATTATAAGATATGTATGAACTATGAAGTCCTGTTTAGGAAGCAATAACATGATGGATTTTCATTTTGGGAATAGATCATTAATTGATTTGTCTACATATGTCCTATCATATTGTATTGACCTTTTCTTAATCTGCTTTACCGATTTTATAATACCTTTCTTTTTATGGGGAATCTTAATTTGTTTACCTGCCAATTTAAAAAGAACTTTGCTTCTAACTCTCTTTATTTATTTATTTTTTCTCTGTTCTGAATGTCAATATATTAGTCACAAACATGCCTTGTGCTTCATTGAGATGATTGGTGGGGATAATGCCCCATGTTGTAATGGCTGTTCTCTTCTTATCAGTTGTCCAGCCTCTATTTGTTTGCGCTGCAATTTTTGGCTGCAGAAACCATGCATTGACTTGGCTTCTATGCATGGTCATTGGTCACAATCTTACTATCAATCTAGTAAGCTGCATGGTCACTATCTCATGTCAGTGTTTGATTTCTTTATTTTTCCTTTTTATATTATGGACTTGTACAGTTGTACTTATTTCATGGTCTGTAATTTTATTGGTGTTTCTGAAAATTATTTGTAGAGAATTTAGCTCTGAGGACAGATTATCTAGCTATGGGTCATTTAAGATACCTGTGCATTACATTTTACATTACATAGTGGGCCATACTCGTAGTGAGGGCCATTAGTGTGCTGAGTGTTGACTACTTGGTGAGTTTGAGTTAGTTAATGCCTCCTGAAACTGCTATTTCTGATTCCTGTTTTTGGAATTTTATTGAATCCTTCTAGCTGAGGCTTATGGTGTTACCTTTGGTTGATTATAGTCAGGTTTAATGCCATCTTCTGTACCCAAAAATGAGAAAGTAAACCGTGGTCTTATGAAGTAAGATGGAAACTTACTTTCCCTTCCAAAAAATAACAAAGAAATAACTTTGCTAATTTATAAGACCAGTGATATTCCAGCGCTCTATACCTGTAACATTTTAGTCTACACTAGAAGTTAGTTTCTCATGGTATCTTATGCTGTATGCCATCTCTAGTCATGTGCTGAATCGGACATTGATATGTGGAAAAATATCTGTTTGTTAGCTGATTTATAAACTTATGATCTCTTTATGAAAAATAATGGCAAGCAGCACTGCAGCAGTTTGAAGATAGTTTACAAAACTCTTGACAATTAGATTTTTAAATCTTTGTTTGAGAAAAGCACGCATAAAAAATTGCATGGTATTCAAAATTGATGTGCTTGAGACACTAGAAGATATTTTCCGTGGCTCTTTCTTTTCTTTCTCTGACCATTTCTTTCCTCTAAATGCACACTGACATGTATCAGTTTGGCAGTTATGCAGCTGAGTGGTGGTCAACTTGAGCAGCTAAATTGAAATCACCAAGAGTGGGCATTGGGGTTATTTTCCCAAGTTTCATTGTATGGATGTGGTTTTCAGGCCAGCACCTGTGTCAGCATATCATCTCTCTTGATTCAATGTACCTTTTGTTTTATCCCTGGCCAGTAGTGAAAGTTGAGTACAAATTCTCTTCTTCAAGTGGTGACCATTTTGTGCCGCATGGGCCCCAGAACGAATTTACTTGAATTGTAAATTCTTATCATCATCTGCGGCTGGTGGGACTGAGTGGATGAATATCTTTGAAAGTTGCAATGTTAGAAAGAAGCTTCAAGTTATTTGCAACCCTTGCAAACAACTTACCCATGGTCAAGCCTATGCTCATCTAGGCCGATATTACTTCCACAAATTTTGTTTGAGTGATATTGGATTGGGGATTGAAAGTACTGAACGTCCAGTTCTATTTCACAGTCAACGTTGTTTTCTACTTGGAGAGATCAGAAGTGATACAAGTGTCAGATATAATGCTTGCAGGCAGAAAATCAGCTGTGTTGCTTTGGTTTGTGAAGAGAACGACTGCAACTTCAAGTTAAACTTTTCATGTGCTAAGTACGAAACTCGTGCCTTAAAACACCAGTGCCATGAGCATGATCTTCTAAAATTTGGGCCAAAAAATGTCATAAGAACTGACCGTTGGTCTCATCTTTGTGGGGGAACATGCATTACTGGCCCTTTCCTTGGTTGTATGTATTGTGATATTGACATCCATCTTGAGTGCGTTCCATTGCCCTGTGTTGTCAAGCATGGTTGTCATTTGCATCCCCTCAAACTTATGGGTGGTGTCGAAAATGATTCTAAGGAGTATAATTGTGACATGTGCATGGAAAAAGGAAATCCAGAGCATTAAGTCTACTCTTGCGAGGAATGCACCTATATTGCCTACATTGAGTGCGTGAATTCTGAGGTAAGCCAAACTTAAATTAATGACAATCCTTGAGAAGCAGCATCCTCCATGAAATAAACCATATATTTAAGTTTGTATTTATGCTAAGAAAAAGTACCATAGGCTAAGCATCATCTCTATCTAGTTTTCATCTGTACACATATATATGGCTCCTCCTGTGGCTTTTACAGAAAATTCTTCTTTTATTGGCCAAGTTACAGAAACTAGTTTGGCATCCAAATACTTATAAACGGATTAAATATATGTGTCCTTTATAGATGCATTTTTGAAGTTTTTTCATTTCAAATTTTTTGCAACTCAGGACTGCAAGAAAAGAAATTTGTCATAGATTTGTTTCCAAAATTAGTATCGCTTCAGGACGAAACTCCTGAAGAGATATTATCATACTTGGTACCTCGGAACAGGCAAATGATGTTGGACTCAGACCTGGGAAAGGCTACTAGTGAATTGGATAAGAAAGGAGAAGAAAATGCTACAGGGAGCTCTGTCCCGGATAATCAACTAGATGAAAAAATGACAGGAATATAGGCCTTGATGGAGGAGTACCAATACAACAACTAAAGGCGCTTGTGGAAGAAAGGAGACAAAATGTTGTGTCTGAAGTCATGAACTTGTGAGGAGAAATTCTCGAAAGTGAAAGCTATACATATGATGTTCTAAGGTTAGCTTATCCCTATTATATTTTAACATTTGAAATCCCCTTATTCAAAGAACATTACTAGAAAGAAAGAAAACAGTGAAACTAAAGATTTAGCATTAGCATTAAAACATGATGTGGATATAGTCTGAATCTTCTCGTGACTGATTTTCCAAATTTTAAGTGACATCCAAATAATTAATTAAGCTTCCTTCTTTATATAAGCATCTAACATCTATCTTAAACAGTTAAACTGCAACATGTTGCAGTTTATGTATTCCATTATGAAGTGTAGAATAAAGACTTGAATTAAAGACTCAAGAGGAGTTCATCAAAAAAAGGAAAAAGATTCAAGAGGAGAATTGCCGTGGTGCCCAGTGCCCATTTTGGCAAGTAACTTTGAAGGTTCCGACACCGTAGACTCGCATAGGTCATGTGGTGTCAAAAACTCAAGCCCAAAACCACATTCCTTTAGGAATTGTTTCTTAATGCTTAGAGATTTTCTTCCTTTTTAGACTTCAATAAGTGGTAAGATTAGTACTTCTTAGTCCAACACCCAATTTAGCACGTGTTACCCTAAGAAGAA